TTCCTTTACACGTAATAATATTCAGATTGATTCGTCCTACTCCATTGGTTCAACACCGCTAATGAGGAAAAACAGCATTAAAGACTTAGGACTCACTTTTGATTCTAAGCTTACGTTTAATCTCCACTTCCAAGAAACTGGTAACGCCGAGGATCTCCAAATATTTTAACAGTATTGATGCCATTAAATCTCTTTTTTTCTCATATGTGCTTAGTAAAATGGAATACGCTTCCTGCGTATGGTACCCACTTTACATGACGCAATATATGGTCCTAGACAAGATTCACCGAAAATTTCTAAAATATCTGTCTTATAAACTCGACGGAATTTACCCTTCAAGAGGAATCCCTATGGACAGTCTGCTAATCCGACACAACATAACGTCTCTTTCTGCAAGGAGGGACGATAACTGTGCCAATTTCTTGGTGAAATTAATTCCCAACAAAGTTGATTGTTCCTACATTCTATCAACCATCGGGTTTAATGTGCCAAGATTGTCGTCAAGACATGTCAACACATTTTACATTCCTCCTTCAAGAACTAACGTTTTCCGCCACTCTCCATCAAGAACTATGTGTATTTGTTTTAATAAACTTATAATGGAAGACATCTTTATGAGTCATCGTTAACTGTATTTTTCTGCTCCCTTGATATGGTTACATATACAGGGTGTCTCAGAAATAAGTACATTAATTTTAACCAATAACAGAACTCGTGAAACGGAACAACTTTTTTATCTAGCATTTTTTCGAAAACTCAAGTCGAATTTCGAATTTTCCCACCCATATATTCACGAGCCTTCTACGTTCACCTTAAATAATAACTTAAATAATAACAACACTACAACAATGAAGAAGGTACCATAGCAACCGTTTTGACACGGACAATCATTTTTACGTCAAGTGTATGTTATTAAACGTTGTCTCTTTAAAGTTTGTTTGGCACATATTTCTAATTTATAGACGAAATGTGTTGAAATGGCTTTGTTTTCAAATTTGGAATGCACCGATATCATTTTAACCTACGGTGAAGCTCGGGGAAACGGCGCTCGCGCCCAAAGAATTTCTTCAGAAAGCCTCCCAAATCGTCGCCATAGCGATCACGTATGTTCTTCCAATGTCGTTGGCAATCATCCACCGATTCATTAATGGTAGTCGCTATTTCCTTCCAAGCGTCTTCTCGTTTATTTATTTATCTGTGAAATCTTTTCTTCTTTTGTCGTACAAGATCGGAAACTTCTCCACCAAGATAATTAATAAACCGTCATCGATATTCTGTTATCAATAGATACTTTTATTAGCATTGAAATGTTAAACCACTTTTATGTACTTACTGTAATTATTGTACGTATCCTAGTGATTCAAATACTTATTATTGTTTATTTGGTCTGTTCGGCTGGACAGCTGACTGAGGAGAGAGAGTTCGAGAAATATGAAATGCAAAGAAAGCTTAGTGTAACAATGGTGGATACAGGTAAAGTAGTGTTCCTGTAGAGAGAGTTCCGCAAACCTCCGCCATTTTAACTCTAACACGACGCGCCAATTTTAAACGGGTCTAGTTGATGGGTGGTATGAATATTAAATTCTTGTACAATAAACATTTTTAGAATAACTTTCAACGTAGGACAATTTTTGAATCGAAACAAAGTATTATTTCCCAATTTTATTCATATCATCTAGTTCATACCACTGCACTATTTTAATTTGGATTTTAATAATATAGCAAAAATTTAGGTAAACGAATGAAAGGACAATGAAACGCAAATATTTTCTATTGATGAATTTTATCCAGGCATTCATCCTGTTAGCATGGTTTTTTCCACTCGCCAGGCTAAAAAGTCGAAAACCTTTTTCACTCCTACTGTTACCGTTATAAATCCCACTAAATAGTATTATATACACATATATTATACAGCCACTATACACACATTCGCGACCTGTTTTTGCTCTAGAAACAAGAAGCAAAGCTAGCTTTATTCCAGCTGATGCCGAGCCGCCATTTTAACTCCAAGGTAGTGAGTAAAGCAGTTACGGAACTCTCTCTACATGAACACTAAGGTAAAGTAGTTTAGGAAACGTTGGGAAAAAGTGGAGAAGGTTGGTGAAGGCGGAACCTTGACGAGTTACTTAGCAAAAGGAATGAGATAAATTATTCAGGTTTCATCTAAATGTCTCATAAATTTTGAGAAATATGATAATATAATATGCATGAAATTTATCCAAATATGCTCCAAAAGTAAAAAAAGTGTAATAACAGAACTAAATTTATTTACAAATTATAATACAAAAACAGATTTATCGAGCTTACGCTTTTTTTACAAAAACTACATATAGTGGACCAAAAGGTATAAGGTTATATGGCCATTATAAAATCATCCCATTGTGTCGAAGTTAAGTTGTTTACAATAGAAAAGGTTTTGGGGTAGTAAATAACGTGTCCACTGCAGCTCGACCGGCTGTAGTGGTTTCGTTCAGGGGCGGCTTTCACTAAATACTTATGAAAATCCACCACTCTACTATTTCTTTACTACCTGCAGCCGGTGAGGGTTTCGAAATAACCACTCGCTTTAAAAAACGGCCCTGTTAAATGTGAGCAAGAAATGTTTGGAAAATGATTTATTGCTAACCAGTAAGCTTAGTGCGAACCACACAAAGGGGGTATTTATTTGCGGTCAACTACTTTTATGATGGTCATATAACCAGTATTGGGGACAGATACTTTTAAAAGTATCTAGATACAGATATAGATACATGGAAGATTGTTTTCGATTTTTTCGAAATGTATCTAGATACAGATACAAGATACTTTTTGAAGCTTTGGCGAATAGAATAACTGAACGCATGTTTATGTATTTTTTTTATGTGTTGTTTTAATGAAATTTTTAAAATTAAGAACATTTCGAACGTATTGTTACATAAATTATTTTTTCTTGGTGTCAGAATTTGGTTTTCGCTACTAAACACCCGTTCCACAGGTGCAGAAAAAGGGATTGTGGTATTAAATTTAAAATATAAACATTTTACTGTAGCTTGGTTATTCAAGACTGAAAAATCTTTTCTTTTTTCCTGCAAATACTTAGGCCATCGCTTCGCTGTTTGATGTGTCGCAAATTGTGCAATATTTATTACGTAGGCTTAAAAAGAATATTTTTTTGTTTTTATTCCCATACTACAGTGTCCAAATTGTGTTTGAGTATATCTAATAATAATTATCTCTTGCATTAAAATTAATATTTCAAAAGAATACGGGAAATGATTAATCTGTGCTGAAGGTCTGTTGTCGGCAACCTGTCATAAATTATTATTCTTCAATATCGGCTTACGATGTTTTTATGACCATGTCCGGTAATCGTCTATCCCGATACGGCAGGTATATACATTTTAGGAAGAATTGCTGGTTCCGTTTAATAAGGCAAAATAAGTACAATTTCTTAGAAAGGTATTTAAACCCCTTATAGAATCAAAGGCTGCCTGGCAGGCCGGAATCACCAGAGTGCAACTTTAAATTTTCAGATTTTTGTTGAAACTCATTTTATTTTAATCTCGTTTCACGATTTCTGAGAATATATCAAGATAAATTATTCTACCGAGGGTTGTAAAAATATTAATTTTATTGTCCAAGATTTACACTTAGACATAATCGGCACATTCTAGGGCAAAACGGACCTGCCAAGCCCGCCTCGCGTTAGGTCCAACAATGAAAAAGTGAAGAAATGACACATGTGGTAACAGCAAAAGATGCTACATTTGTCTGCAAAATAAAGGTATAAAGCAACAACAAATATACGATTTATGCGAGAGAAATGTATGTATTGAACATTCGATTAGTCAATTACAGAACTAATTTGTGCTGACTGAAAAAATTAATCATTATGTAACAGGCAATTATTATTTTCTAAAAATAATAACATACCTTAAACAAATATTTTTACTATTAAAATTACTCTTATTTAATAACACAAATACAACCAGCTGGCCTACCGGACCCGGGTTGCTCAGGTACACAGATAAAATGCATTGTCCCGGATAATGGTAAAATGCAGTGAATAGTGAATTGTGGTTTATGATTTTTAAAATACCATCTTACCATGGCTTAGATTTATTACCCCTCAGGATTATATTTAAAGATGTATAAGTACTGAAGGCTAGAATGTAGGAAATGATGATATTTAAAATATGAAAATTTCCGTGACAGAACACTATTAGTGGACCTCTTACCTCTATTTTTGTTTATGTGTACAAAATCACCAACATGAAGTATCAAAAATTACTATTAGTATAACTCAACTAATAACTACTGAAAAAAAAGTGAAATAAAAAAATGTATCTGTTGGAAATTCCATATCCAATCATTTTTAGCAGGTACCTGGGGTTGTAAGAGGTGGGGGTGTGTCCCAACCACCCCATTTAGTCGGTATCGGTACACACAATTATGTAGTCAAGAGTTCTGGAATAAATCCCAAGTAAAACGGTCGCAATGTTCACTTTTGGTCCTTCGAACCAATTCCTAATAATCATAAACATTTTTGGTCAATTCGAGCCGAATATCCGAACCAGTGCCCGAATAGCGGTATAACAATAAGTGAATAAGTGCGGCAAATCGATATTCAAAGCGGATCCAGAACTCCACGAAATCATAAATCAAGACACATGCCCAACATCCCAGAAGCGGATCATCATCAAGAGATTGCAGCAGCCAACATCCCAGAAGCGGATCATCATCGAGAGGTTGCAGCAGATCAAATCATCAAAAGGTCGGCTGATTTTATCCCAGAAGCGGATCATCATCGAGAGGTTGCAGCAGATCAAATCATTAAAAGGTCGGCTGATTTTATCCCAGAAGCGGATCATCAACGAGAGGTTGCAGCAGATCAAATCATCAAAAGGTCAGATCCTTCCTTTTTCTATCCTTCTAAATCATACGGTTCTAAATTCTTATACGTATCAATCGCCCTGTGCTTAAGTTTTACCTTTGTCGTTGCGCGTCCGTAGTCTTCCGAAATGACCGAACTTACGAAGTTAAAAAATCAGCGTAAAATAATAAAGGCTGCCATAACGCGTATACAAAATAATGTAAAAGACGACGATAGTGTACCGGAATTAGATACAAGGTTGTTAGATTTGACAGAAAGGTTAAAGGAGTACAATAATATTCAAAATCAAATAGAGTCACTTCAGATAGTAGACGCGGAACATAATGAATCGTATTGGGAATCAGAAAATGATAAGGAACGTACCTCGGTTGAAAACCAATACTATAAAACTTTAGGTAAAATAAAAGGCATCATTATTAAGAACAGTCCGGCGACGTCGAACCCGTCGCTAACCCCTAACTCTACAACTATTAACATACATAATGATTGTAATAAACTCGAAGCCAATGAACATAGCGTAAATTTGAAACCTTTACCACTGCCTACCTTTGATGGCAAACATAGCGAATGGTTCTCGTTTTTTGATCTATTTAAATCATTAGTACACAATGACGGGAACATATCAAATATCCGCAAATTCCACTACTTGCGTAGTTGTTTAAAAGATGAGGCGTTGCGGTCCATCGAATCATTGGCGGTCCGCAACGAAAACTACAGCAAGGCAATTGAAACTCTTCAAAAAAGGTTTGAAAATAGAAGATTAATTGTTCAGGAACATATCATAAACATTTTAAACATACCCAGCTTGTTAAAATCATCGCACAAGGAATTACGGGAAATTATGGACACAGTTTCCAATAATGTCGCGGCCTTAAAGGTGTTAAATTTACCGGTCGATCAGTGGGACGCAATTTTAGTCGAAATTGTTTTTGAAAAATTAGATTATGCCTCTAAAAAGGAATGGCAGTCAACACTAGACAAGGCAGTACCCACTTTCCTGCAATTTTCCGAATTTCTAGAAAAAAGGTGTGAAATATTGGAAGCGATGGATAAGTTAAAAACCAATAATTTACCATCCAATAAGCCCAAATCAATAATTTCTAGTCCTAAACAATTAAATATAAGACCGCAAAACATTATTCAAAAAAGGTTCAATAATTCTAACGTAGTGTCCAAATTTAATTGCCTTTTGTGCAAAAATTCACACGCTCTTTATCAATGCAATGAATTTCTAAGCAAATCCGTTATAGACAGAAACATTGTATCTCAAAATTTAAAACTTTGTGCAAACTGCCTAAGAAATAATCACAAAATTGAAGATTGTAAATCAACATTTTCATGTAAGGAATGTAATCAAAGACAGCACACATTGCTACATAACAATGAATTTGTACCATCCGCTAACACTTTGCAAAGGCAAGCCTGTAGCCAGGTTCTTTTATCAACCGCAACAGTTTTTATTTTAGATAAAAAAGGAGTTTTTCAAACATGTAGAGTGCTTTTGGACGGCGGCTCCCAAGCACATGTAATCACTAAGGGTTTATGTGATAAATTAGGTCTCATACCAACAACTGGAACCGAATTTATTTCTGGTATCAGTACACGTAATAATCGAACACAGGGAAATGTGAACGTAACTATAAAATCGCGCATCCGCGAATTTGCAGTAAATTTCGATTGTGTTATTCTCTCCAAAATTACTCTGCCAATTCCTAGCGTAACATTTCCAAAAGAAATAATTAATTTGCCACCAAATGTAATATTAGCAGATCCTAATTATAATATTTCCCAAAATGTCGATTTGTTAGTTGGAGCGCAATTATTTTGGAAATTATTATTAGACGGACCTATTTTATTAGGTAAAAACCTACCATATTTACAAAATACAAAACTAGGTCACATTTTGTCAGGTGAATTAATCACAACCATTCCAAATTCAAGCGTATCGTGTAACTTGTTAAATTCTAAATCCATTTTTAATTATGTATTCCCTCATGACGAATTTAAGGCCGAACACTTAGAATGTGAAAAACATTTCGTAGAAAATACAACTAGGATGTCTTCAGGCCAATTCGTGGTAAAATTACCTGTTAAAGGCCTTCGCTTGGGTGAGTCCCGTCCAAGGGCTGTAAAACAATTTTTAAATTTAGAAAATAGACTGAGCAAGGACCATAAACTAAAATCCGCTTACAAAGAGTTTATGGTAGAATACCGCGTTTTAAACCACATGGAGCTCGTTCCTTTTAATACTTTGGAATCCCCAAATAGTTATTACCTGCCCCATCATGCTGTATTTAAACAAACACCGGAAGGGCCCAAACTTCGGGTTGTATTCAATGCTTCCTCAAATTCTTCAAACGGTTTAAGCCTCAATAATATTTTAATGACAGGCCCGACCATACAACAAGACCTCTTTTCTATCCTATGCCGATTTAGAACATTCCGATATGCTTTATCTGCGGACATAACTAAAATGTACCGCATGATATTAGTAGATCCGGCCGATACGGATTATCAAAAAATTTTGTGGCGTGATCATCCAGACCAACCAATCAAAACTTACAGGTTAAAAACATTAACGTATGGCACGACTTGTGCGCCGTTTTTAGCAGTTCGCGTTTTGCATCAGTTAGCAATAGAAGCAGAGCTCAGTAATCCATTGGGCAGTCATATTATAATGAGAGACTTTTATATGGACGATTTGGTCACTGGTAGCGACAGTGTGGACGAAGTTGTCGAAATCAAAAGACAAGTATCTGGTATATTAGCTTCAGGCGGGTTTCATTTAACTAAATGGGCATCAAATGTTAGGGAAGTAGTCCAATCTGATGTAATTAAACCATTCGACACATCTAAAGTCGAATTCGAAAAAACAGATTATGTAAAGGTTTTAGGTTTTTATTGGAGTTGCGTTGGTGACCTACTTAAGTACCAAATAAATCTCCCGCCAATTAACTGTCCTCAAGCTGTTACAAAACGCTACATATTATCTACGATCGCAAAAATCTTTGACCCTCTTGGTCTGATAAATCCAGTTATCGTTAAGGCAAAAATCCTCTTGCAAAATCTTTGGTGCCATAAATTGGATTGGGATGAACCCGTACCAGTTGAAATTCGCGACACTTTTACCAAATTTATTAAAGCTCTTCAGGAATTGTCCAATTTCGAAATCCCGCGAAAAGTATTGTCAATAAGGGCAATAGCGTCAATTGAAATGCATGGTTTTGCAGATGCCTCATCAAAGGCATATGGTGCCGCAATCTATATCAAATCCACAAATCCGTTTGGAGATGTATCAGTGAATTTATTATGTGCTAAGTCCCGTGTAAGCCCAATTAAACCCGTTACCTTGCCACGGTTAGAATTAAACGCCGCGGTATTGTTAGCCCAGCTAACATTTAAAGTTAAAAACATTTTGAACCAAAAAATCGACAAAACATACCTTTGGACCGATTCGACCATTGTTTTAGCATGGTTATCCGAATCACCTGATAACTGGAAACCGTACATTGCAAATCGGGTCAAGCAGATACAGTCCATGAGCGCAATATGTGATTGGCATCATGTTCGATCGGGCGATAATCCTGCGGACATTGTTTCTAGGGGTACTTCGCCGCGACAGTTGATAAATTCAACTCTCTGGTGGCACGGGCCACATTGGTTGCTTGAAAATTTAAAAGGAAATGAGGATGCCACAATCAACCAGGATTGTATAGATGAAGTAAGTTCAGAACGTAAAACAAACATATCAGTTAACATGATTCAGTCAGCTTCACCCGAATTACCGATATTAACAAAGTTTTCTTCCCTTGCCAAGTTAAGAAGGGCAATTGCCTACTGCTTAAGATTCATTAATTTTTTGCGTAATGGAACTCGGGCTAATTCAATCGAAGTAACTGCGGAAGAGTTAGAAGCAGCGTCACTCGTAATTTTAAAAATGGTCCAAATGCAAGCTTTCTCGGATGAAATAAAATCATATAAGCAAAATAGCAAAAAACCACATTGCAATAAATTATCAAAATTAGACCCCTTTGTTGATGACAATGGTTTACTGAGGGTCGGTGGCCGCCTAAAACATGCATTAATCGGTTTCGATAATAAGTTTCCCGTTTTATTGCCAGCAAAGCACCACATTACAAATTTGATTATAAGAGAAATCCATGAAATAAATCTGCATTCCGGAAGTGAAGCCACACTTGCGGCTATTCGGCAAAAATATTGGCCCTTATCTGGCCGCCCTGCGGTTAGAAAGATTATCCATTTTTGCATTAAATGCCGGAGGGCCAACCCATTAGTGATAATTCCAAAAATGGGTGATCTTCCCAAATACCGTTTGCAACCTTTGCGTCCTTTTTATATTTCGGGGGTCGACTATGCCGGACCGTTTTTAATAAGGGAAGGTAGAACACGAAATCTAAAGAAGGTCAAATCTTATATAGCCTTATTCATTTGTTTTTCTACTAAGGCGGTTCATTTAGAGTTAGTAGGAGATTTAACCACTGAAAGTTACCTTGCGGCGCTCAAAAGATTTACTTCTCGACGTGGTCATGTAAAGGATCTGTTTTCAGATAACGGCACAAATTTTGTAGGTGCCGAGCGGGAATTATTCAAATCTAAATGTTTTCAAAATAAAATATTGCAGTACTCCACATCGGTGGGTACGAAATTTCATTTTATACCAAGTAGGTCACCTCATTTTGGGGGATTGTGGGAGCGTGCCGTACGAAGCGTGAAGCATCACTTGCACAGGGTGGTCGATAATGCATCGTTAACTTACGAGGAGTTTTATACTTTATTAACCCGCATCGAAGCTTGTCTAAACTCCCGCCCCCTGACACCTTTATCCCAAGATCCAAATGACCTCGAAGCTCTGACACCGGGACATTTTTTGATCGGCGAGCCCTTAACAACACCAGTGGAACGGGACCTAAAGGAGATCCCTGTAAATCGTTTATCTCGATGGCAACGCGTGCAGCAATTGCAGCAACATTTTTGGAGCAGATGGACCAAGGAGTACTTGGCCCAACTTCAATTCCGTCCCAAGGGTCACCAAATGACGCAACCCAACGTCGACGTCGGAACTTTGGTAGTTCTAGTGGAGGATGGACTGCCCCCGCTACGGTGGAGGTTAGGACGAGTCGTCGAAGTTCACCCAGGTCACGACGGAATTGTGCGGGTTGTGTCCGTAAAAACTAGTACGGGAGTGGTGAAACGCGCTGTGACAAAAGTGCGCATTATCCCTAGCGAATGACGATTTTTGTGTTGCCGTCTGTGCTTCGCGAATTAGATTCTTGTGATGATCATCATCATCATCATTGACAAAAAGACGTAATCAACAAGCAGTGAAATTTTTTTTCAAACTTCTTTCCAATTCTATTGATTGTCAAGACCTGTTAGGCGAAGTCTTCTTTTTAGTGCCAAGAATGGGTTCCCGTTTTTCCGTAAGCTTTTTTGTACCTAGGCCAAGGACCAACGTTCTCAGGAACTCCCCTGTTAGTAGAATGTCGCACCTTGCTAATTGTATTTAACTAGAGCATTTCACTACTGTTTTTCATTTTTCATTTTGTATGTAATACTATGTATTATAATATATTATATATTTTTAGTTTTAGTTTTAGTTTAATAGCTTTAATTACGCTATTGTTCATTCCTAGTAATTTATGTTGTCCTGTAATTGGAGTACCTCTGTTGGGCAATAAAGTTTATTATTATTATTATTATATTATATACTTTTTATGTTTTTATAAATTTATAATAGCATGTATCATTATTCAGATGCCCCCCTCCAATTGTTTTGAAGTTAAACCTTCAACGGGGCCGGCATGTTGGAAATTCCATATCCAATCATTTTTAGCAGGTACCTGGGGTTGTAAGAGGTGGGGGTGTGTCCCACCCACCCCATTTAGTCGGTATCGGTACACACAATTATGTAGTCAAGAGTTCTGGAATAAATCCCAACTAAAACGGTCGCACTGTTCATTTTGGTCCTTCGAACCAATTCTAAATAATCACAAACAGTATCTGTATCTGCGCCATTAATTTTGTATCTAGATACAGATATTTTCTGCTTAAATTCGATTGTATCTAGATACAGATACTAGATACCCAAAAATGTATCTAGATACTTTTTTTAGATACAAGTATATAGATACTGCCCAACACTGTTCTGTACATAATCGCTGTGTAGTGGTCGTGTAGGTTTGCATTACTGTGAAATAAATTGTTGAGTTTTACCCACGCCGATTTTAAATTACCTACGATCAACAAATAGCGATAAATCATAAACAATACTCAAGGTTTTTGCCGGACTAGTTTGATATTTTTTGACTTCTGACTGTTAGAGACGTACTGAAAACCACTGGTAAGGGCCGTAGGTACAAAAAATATATTCTGAAATTTGTCGATCGTCGGTCTTTACTGACATTAATAGAAACAACATTTTTTGCCTGATTCAAATGTAGTTTCGTGCGTTAAATGACAATAACACATTAGAAATTAACAAATGAGAGAATGTATTTTTTTTAAACAACAAAGTTATCAATTTACCTATTGTAATTTAAAGCATCTATAAGTTAATAAATACGAATTTATATTTTATCTGTGCTAGATATTAAATTTCGAATACTACTTAGAGATATCATTAATATCACACAACGAAGGCATACTTTCAGATAGTTAAAATAAACTGTAGAGTATAGTGAGTCTTACACAATTTTAGGTTATTTATGTACCTTTTTTGTATTAAATATATAGTAGCGTTTAAGTTTTCCCTCAAATAAATCAAGCTCTTATGTAATGTTTGTACATCTTTAAGGTAAGCAATGTTTTTAATGAAAAAAGTGAAATAAACCACTGATAAATTTAGAAAAGATTAATTTTATTCACGAAGACAAAAACGTGTTCAAATATCGTCAAATTATGTTTCCAAAAGTTGTAATAAATAAATTAATTGCAGTTAACAATGGATGATCTCGTAATTGGAATAGATTTAGGCACGACCAACTCCTGCATTTCTTTGTACAAGAAAGGGAAACTGAAAATTTTAGAGAACCCCGAAGGAGAAAGAACTACACCAACTTTTATATTTTTTCATCCAGAAGGTGGAGTAATTTTTGGTAAACACGCGCCGAAAATGGCGAGCGACCAAACAGAAAACGGAATTTACGGTAAAATTGTTATATACCTAAAACAAAAGACGTATTCGTTAAATTGCAGAAGTAAAACGATTGGTTGGAAGAACATACGACGATCCGAGACTTCAGGAAAGCGTAAAATATTTGTCTTACAACGTAAAACCAGACGAGTCAAATCTTCCTGTAGTTACGCTGAAGCAAAAAAAACAAATCGTCACCAAAACGCCCCAAGAAGTTTACACGGCTATTTTGAAAGAATTAAAAAAGTACGCTGAGGAGAAATTAGGTCACGACGTGAAAAAAGCAGTCATAACAGTTCCCGCATATTTCAACATTCTGCAAAGAGAGGTTACTCTAGCTGCTGCCAAAGAGGCAGGATTCGACGTTCTAAAACTCTTGAATGAACCCACAGCTGCTGCTTTGGCTTATTATTTTGAAAACGACAACCAAAAGCGAAAGTGCCTAGTTTACGATTTCGGAGGAGGTACTTTTGACATTGCCGTTCTTGAAAGGCACGGAAAAAACATCGATATTATTTGCGTAGCCGGAGATAGTCAGCTGGGGGGTCACGACTTGGACAAGTGTTTACAAGAACACGTCCATCGAGAATTAAAAGAAAAGTACGACTTTATTGTTGAAAGTCCAGAAGATAAGAGATCATTACGCAATAAATGCGAAGATGCTAAAAAACAGCTTTCAACGATACCAGAAACAGTAATCGTCATCAATGGAATGGTAGAACAGCACCCTAAAATCAAGATGGTAATAACACGAAAACAGTTTGAGGAACTCGCAGATGATTTGGTTAAAATGACTATCCGCATGCTTGATGATTGTCTCAGTCGTTCAGGCATTTCGAAGGAGTCAATTGAAGAGGTGATTCTGTGCGGTGGTTCGTCCCGGATTCCCAAAGTCCAGGACTTACTCTCCGAATACTTCGACACGAAAAAACTAAGTAAATTCGTGAATCCCGACGAATGCGTAGCAGCTGGAGCTGCACTTCAAGCGGCCATGTTGTCGAAACACCAAGACCAAAAAATCGACGTAATCGAAATGGTCGACGTCGTGCCTTTGTCCCTAGGCTTTGGCAACGTTGCCAACGAAATGAATTTTCTGATTATGAGAAACACGAAGATACCAGCGACCGCATCTAAAATTTTTAGAACTATAATAGAAAACCAACGCTCGATGCCGTTTAAAATATACGAAGGCGAACGTTCAGATGCCAGACTAAATCGCCTAATAGGAAACTTTACCATAAAAGACTTGACCCCAGCACCACCCGGAGAACTGAAAATAATTGCCACGTTGAGTATCGATCATAACGGTATTCTTAGAGCAACAGCAAAGGAAGAAGGTAAAAACATGAAAGAACTCAGTATAAGTTTTACTAGAGGCGAACGAAGCGAAAGAGACATTATAAATTCAATAAAAGATGCTGAGGTTAACCAAGAGTATGACGAAAAGTTCAAAGATTTTGGCCGCCTGAAGCGTTACTTTATTGAATACTGTGGAGGGGTTATCTACAACATGGAAAAAAAGAAGTTGGTTAAAAAATATAAAATGGCGTATGATTTTTGCAAAGTTTGTAGAGACATAGCTGCGAATTTCGAAATGAATAAACTAGACGAACTTAAAACGCTGATTGAGAAGTGTAAAACGCAATGTGAGCACATTGCACATACACATAAATTTAAACATATGCCAATTGCTGCAGCGTACATTTAACTGTAAGAGAAGCAATTTGACGGTGGTGATGAGTTGATGACGGATTAGACACTCATTTGATTGGACAGCGTTATATCTTAGAAGAAAATGTTATTTAAATTAGAAATAGCTACATCTATTGACTTTTCTAAAATTATCAAGTTTTGTTGCTTCTCTGTCTACAATATTTATATAATAAAACTTCATATTTCTTGAGATTCGTCTTTTTTGTATAATTGGCAGAAACATAAGAAGGTATTCTGAAAATATATGCATCCCTTTATTATTTTACACTACTTCTAGTAGCATAGGAAAATAAAATTAATTACCTGTCCATAAATGATTCAAGGATTTAGGGTGACACTTGATGCATTTTACATCAGACTAATTATTATTATTTTGAAACGTTCTGTACCTTATCACAAGCCTTATAAATCTTGTTATCCTTCCGGATTTATGCCTAATATAATCTCACACATAAAAAATAAAAACTCTTACAGAAAAAAATGGCTCCCAACTAGTAGTACATACTGTATTTCTTGATAACTTTAAGTGACTTAAAAATAGTTGAAGCTTATAATTTATATTTGCATAACGTTGAAATAGCTTAGCGCAATCCAAATGAAGTTTTCAAATTTATTCATATGAAACAAGATACCACCAGAATTCCTGGTAAAATGGACGATCAGTATGTAACATACGGATCGGTTGATGATAATGTTAATGCGTTTGCAAGAGTATTTTCTAATATATACCGTCCTTCGTCAGACCTATCAGTTAATGATATTCATAGAAACCTACCAAGTTTTAAACTTTTTTACTAAAATCTTTGAGCAAGTTATAGATAAATCAATTTTTAATAATATTCAATGCTACATTTCTCCTTATCAACATGGGTTTATATCTGCACGATCAGCAGTTACCAATCTTGTTACAATTACCCAGTTTATTTGTGAAGAATTGGATAATAACGGCCAAGTTGATGTGGTTTACGCCGATTTCTCAAGCCCCTTCGATACTGTGGATCATAAAATTCTTTTAGACAAACTTAGTTCCTTCGGTTTTGCTCAATTATTCCTGGCCCATATAATGTCATATTGATCAGATCGAAGTAATTATGTCTCCTACAATGGTTACTTATAAGTCACAAGAATATGTCTCAACATCAGGCGTGCCTGAGGGGCCCAATCTTTGACCACTGTTTTTCATATTGTTCATTGATGGTCTTCTTAGATCATTGTCTTGTCATGCACTTACCTATGCTGATGATTTGAAGATTTACTCTAGAATTTCGTGTATGAATGATGTTAATTATCTGCAGCACAACTTGAATAAGATTGTAATTTGGACTCTTTCGTAAACTCGTAAAAAACATAGTACTCCTTCTTCTTATAAGATCAATGACGTACCATTATCCAAAGAAACCATCAGTAAAGACCTTGGAGTACTATTTGACACTAATATGGCTTTCGAAAATCATATTGAAAGTATTGCCTCTGATGCTTCTAAGACTTTAGGCTTCATTATGCGTACTGCTAAACTATTTCATAGTCCACTAGTGTTAAAATCTTTGTATTTTCCTTTTGTTTTGTCAAAAATTGAATTTGGATCCAACATTTGGTCTCTCTATTATATATATTTATCACCAGTTAGTGCTAGAAAAAATACAGCGTCGCTTTTTAAAATTTTTGACCTTTAAGATTGTTGATAGTTATCCCCCACGTGGTACTGACTATAATCTACTTTTAGATACACATAGTCTTAAGTCGTTAGCCTTTCGAAGAAGACAACTTGATGCCAGATTTATGTAGAAGATTATACATGGTAGGTTGGACTGCAGTGACATCGTTAATTCGTTAAGATTTCATATTCCTCGTCCAAATGCTCGTCATGCTGTTACATTTAGAATTCCACCTGCGAGGACGAATTTACTCAGAAAAGCACCCTTACCAACCATGTGTCGGGAGGCTAATAATTTTTACATCTATATTTTTCAATAGCAACGAGTAATTTTATTACATATTATAAGTATTATTTTATATTTATTTTTTTTTACTTTCCTTGTACATTTTATTAGTGTTAGTGCCAGTATTAATTTATGTATGTGTATTTTTTATAATTGTCCTGTAAGTGGATGAAGAACCTGTTAGGCAATACAGTCATTATTATTATTATTATTATTATTATAACAGTTCATTATAATGCCTTGTAACTTGCAACAAACCGTCTTTACGAAAATGATCCAAGGACAAAAAAATGTTAACATAATTTAAAGAATAATTCTTTGAATATTTGGCATTAGTTAAGTAAACACCCTATATATCTGTACCAACGACGATTTTAGAAAAATTATCGCTATTCACTGAAGCAATCAAATTTCATTAAATCAATTAAATAATTTAACTTTTTAAAATACTTCGTAGTTCCTATTCGGTCTAACGAATGATTTGGCTAACGCCATTCAATCTTCAGGTCGATTTATAAACTTGTCGCTCACGTTGCTGTTCACCGTTGACGTTGCCGTTGTAAGATAAATACGCAGCGAAGATATGCGTCGTTTAGATCATCCGTTGACGTTGCCGTTGAAAGTTGGCACGCCATTGGGGTGACGTTCGAGATGACCAACTTTTAACTTTCGCCGTTACGTTGCCGTTGACGTTGGGTTTTCAACCAATCACATTGCGGTAGTGTGCAGTGCTGGCAACTTGAAGGAAAATCCCCGGAAGTACCGAGGAGATTTTTCTGGTTTATAGCACTAATTCCACGAAAATCAAATTTTGATAGAGATAACGAGGTGCACTAATATTTAAGCCATTTAATCATCTGATTACCGAAGCCCTCATACTTTGAATAGCTGCCATCATTTTCTACACTGTAGTTTTCGATCAGTACTTGTGTATTGTTAGATAAAGATAGTTCTCGACGTTTAAATCAACAAGAATTATTGCTATTCGTCTCAAAAACAGATTGGGTATTATAACGACAAGGCTCCCATTTTGCCTTTTTCTTCTACTAAAAGATGACTACACAATACACATATTAATGTGTAGTCATCTTTTCACAACAAGAAACTTAAAATATATTTAAAATGGTAAATTTCTTTAGAGAAATATCGATTTTGCAATTACGCTTCGCCCCTCGTCTGATAACGAATGAAAAAGTCATCACAATTGAGAATTGAGATCGGAGCGCATATGGGTGGGGCCTAATCTTTGGCTTTATTTTTTTTCTTAATCTATATCTATACTTGTATTATAAATCTGAAGTGTTTGTTTGGTTGAACACGCTAATCTCAGAAACTACTGGTTCGAATTCAAAACATCTTTTTGTATTGGATAGTCCATTTATCGTATCTACATGTAGGCTATATAACATCACGCTACGATCAATTGGGACACCCCCTATAAGCAAAACTAAAAAATATGAATCGAATGATAAATCACAAGTATAGCCTCATTTTGGGGTGACCTCATCAATTTTTTGGAGGGGATAAGTAAATATATTCTGAATAAAAATTTATTATGCTCATATGTTTAAAACATCTGCAAGATTTCAAAGCATTCGGTTTTGAAGATTCAAAATTAAATTGTAGGTGAAACAAAGTTCACGGGATCAGCTAGTATAACATAATATAATTTTTCCACAAGAAATAAGGATTTTGCAGTTAAGCTCCGCCCGTTGGTTCACGATGAATAAAAAAATTCGTCGCAATCGAAATAGGGCGGGTGGGTAGTGCTACATTTTGTCCTTTTTTTCTTAATATAAATTTTTATAGTAATCAATTTAAATCCTCCACCTTTCTTCTACAACCCTTTTAAATATGGCAAAAGTTACTATCAACGGCAACTTGGCAACGGAGTTTATAAATGACAATTTTCATCTCTAAAAGCAACGTCAGCGGGAACATCAACTGCAACGGGAACTTCAATGTTTTTATAAACCCCACTTTCTAGTTCAAAATTGAACCCAATTTCGATTAATATCAGAATATCCTTACAAAATACTCCCTACAATAATAATAATTTAAGTGCTCGAAGAACTAATGTTGGTCTTTTAGAAGAAGGAAGACTACTTTTAGTACTACCTTTACGTGTATGTGTGCAGGTATAGTTATAACACATTTTTTTAGGATAGATATTTTCGAGCGAATTTATTGTTAATAGAATGCAAAGTCCTTGGAATTTAATCTATGACAAGCTTTTTTAGAGTTTCAAGTCACTTGAGGCAAATAGTTTTGTTAAATTTAAACTCACTCAAATAAAGTCTTTAGTTCAAAGTCGATTACATAACAGAGTAGAACAATATCTTATTGTTCTAATCTATGACCGTCATAAACCAAACACTCGAACAACAATTAACAAAGCAAAATTTGACACACTTACCTACTACAATAGACACTACTTGAAAAAAGAAATTGTTTGTTAATTATTATAAAATTATTAATGATAACAACTGATATGTCGTACAGTTCTTGTGACAATCACTTACATTACTGTGATTCGAAGGGATTAACTTTAGTTTTCTTTTAATTTTTTCAAGTTTTCCATAACTAGTTCTTTTTCATAATATTAAAATTTTAACTCAAGATATCTTCTTTTCATGTCGGATAAAAGTGGACACTAAAGTTGTAACTTTAGTGTTAGGAAAACCTTGTACGAGCTTCTTTTTAAAGTTTATTTGATCAATGACTTCTAATAATTACCTTAATTCTTCACAATAACATGGAAGTAAGTTATTGTTTAAAAGATGAAACACCACAAGAAACTAATTTAATTGAAATCATTACTTTAAACTATGTGTCCTTGTACTATTTCTGTTCTTCAACTAACGCTCTCAAATCAAAGAAGTTAAGCTTCATGTATAATCATAAAAATATCAAAACATATTTATTTCAAAAACATACCCTATATTATAGCAGCAAAATGTTGTATAGATATACAATATAAACTTAAACTAATAAACAATATTTTTAATTTTAATAACTTTAATCAGAAGAAAAGCTGTTGCCGCGTAATTTCGACTTCAATCCTTTGATGTAACTCATTGCTTCAACCGTTTCATTCAAAAGAACATCATCTTCACATATTAACTCATCTAATTTATCCAAACAACGCGACAAATTTTCGTCAATTATGTAATAATCTACGGAATTTCTACTACCCAGAAAACCTTGAATTACAGTTTCGAATGTTTTTGCAAAAGAATGAATTTTCCGAACAAATTCGACGCTCTCCTTGTCTGAAATACCATCGAATTCAAGTTTCGTAAAATAATTATTTAAATTTACAACGTTTTCTGTCTTTCGTTTCTTAAACGCAAAATCTGCTAAACGTTGATCCATTTTACCTAACAGAGAATGTAATTTTTGCGAAACTGACGCCTTCTGAGAGTCTAAGTCGGCATTACCTTCGGGGAAATCTTCTATTTGTTCTTTTAATATAAGAATGTCTTGTACAGTTTCCATAAAGTGGTGACTATTTTTAATTCTTTCAGAGAGTTCATTAACCGAAAGAACGACGGTGTTGTCGACATGGACTTTTGTTTTTTCTATTTTTATTAATAGTTCCAGATCTAAAATTTCTTGCATCAAGTCCTCTCGTGTAGTATTCCTGAATAATAAATTCACTCTTGTCTCCACTGTACTCAATTTTTCGTCTTTTTCTCTACTAGAAATGTTTGATTTTGATATTTCTTCGAGTTCAAAACGGATATTATCTATTTCTTCTATTAGTTCATCGAGTTTGTCTCTCTCTATTTTTAGTTGTTCCATTTGGTCGAAAAAACTGCTAAAGAGCAGTTGTAAGTCTTCATTTTGTTTTATCATTTCCATCATGGAACTTTTCCCATTAGTTATTTCTTCATTTGTGAGGTGTTTTTCTTTCGGGCGTAAACTGCTAAGTTGTCGTGTCAACAGTTCGTAGTTACGTAGATTCCCTTCTATTGTAGACACTATATCTGGAAAAAGTTTGTTATAAATTTCTATTTCATACTGATGCAGCTGCTCTAAAATAGTTCGTTTCAACTCAACCACACGAAAACTAAAATCTTCAACTTCTTGAATTTGTTTCCTGTAGTCACTCAACGCTTGTAGCTTTGCTATTGTGTGTTCATCATTATCTGTAATGTTTTGCTTCATTGTAGAGAGTGTGTTTATAACGTAAATAGTTGTTTCATTTTGATCAGATTTCTTCTCTAAACACTTCAAAGCTTCTCGGATGTAAACATTAATAATATTTATTCTTGTTTTAAACAAACTGTTGTCGTCAGCTGAACAGTCGAGAGTTTTTAATAGGAACTTTATTTCTTTCCTTTTAATACCATACATTTTATTATTTTTTGAGAACCCAAAATTTTGGGCATACGATTTGTAATCTTGGAGCACTTCTAACTTATGTCGCAAATATTTCGAACCCTCCACTAGATAATATCCCTGCAGTAATTTTATAATTTTCGTCAATTTCAATTTAACTTCTTTAACGGCAGTGTCCTTTTTAATTTCTTTTGTGTGTTCCAATAGGTCGTTCAAACTGATTTTCTTTTTAGCAAAGTCTTCATTTGCTTCAACGATTTCATACATTTTGTTTTCTACATTTCCCACGTCTATGTCCACTTTTTGTAAAGTATTATTGTCAGCTTCATTAAGACGACCTCCCAAAAAAGATAATTTATCACTGGCATTTCTGAGAGTACTTTCTGGTGCAGAAGAAGATAAGTTAGTTTTGTGTTCATAATGTTCTTTAGTTTCAGTACTGGTGTCATTCAAATCTTGCTCTGGATTGCCTAAAATGAAATATAGTAAACATTAGATAGAATAGTTAATAAGATGACAATTCTTCTTTATCAGTACAAGACAGAGATCATGTCAAGCTACACTATACACTACTTGAATGTAACAAAGCCATTACTCGAACCGTTAAGGTTTGACAAACGATTATTAAATTTGAAGTATTACTTACTAATGCGTGCACCCGAAAAAAATATTTAGTGCCTAGACATTCCGATTAGAAGATCGGATTATTTTGTTTCAACAGCCTACACCAATTAATTTTTTCAACAGCACGTAGTTATCGTATTTTTGATTCTTACCATTTGTAACTTTATCCTCAAATTTGACAATTTTTCTGTTAGAAGTGTCGTCTGCCGCATCCGTATTACCACGAGAATCAATCAACTTCTTCCTTATTCGATCATCATCAATTAAAAATAATCTTAGAAACAGGATCGCCCTAAATTTAATATCTTTTTTCTTAGGCTTTCCAAATTTTTCCATGCATTCTGCGTACGATACAGCTTTCAACATCAATTCCGAACGCTCTGTTGAATCTGAAGTTCCTTTAATCTTGCCTTCTAGTTGCAGCAAATCTTTTTTTAATTTACCAACTTTTTTTTTAGCTAAAAATGAACATTAAATGAAAAACAATGATGACGTTAGTTTTATTTACCTATCATTATGGAGACATCTTCAGTCTTTTCTGTTGGTAAATTTACTAGTTTTTGTTTCGCCTCATGTAATAAATTTGAAATTTCTTCATTTCCATTGTTTCTTTTTGAAAGGACTTCCAAGGCGACTTCGATTTGTTTCTTGACATATGGGTTAATTTTTCCTTTTTTGTCGGTTATTCTTTTTACTAGTTTATTAAGTGTATCTTTAATATTTTCGTTCATATCTAAAAAATAAAGACGTATAGAGCACCATGTTTACACTACTGTAGAAACTAGTGTGAGCTAATCTTTATACCTACTCTATTCCAATTTCTTTGAGAGTTGGGAAATTATAAATCTATTCCATCAAAGTTGAAATAAACGGAATAAACATCCACTGCACTACTAAATTATAAACGACAGTCTAATGTTACGTACATTGTTGAACAGTAAAACACGTAGGTTTTTTACTACAATAAAACATTTGAGATAATTTGGAGAGCCTTAATGATAAACTGCAGAACACAAATACCTAAAAAATTCGATGATAAAATAGTTTTGGAAAGAGATAAGATAACATTAAAATATTAACTCTGTTTCAATTATAGATGCTTTTGGAAATTATATAGCTTTTTCGCCGAGAAGCTATTTTAAAATTTCCAATACAAAAACTGACTCATAATAACGTGTGTAAAAAAACACACTCTTCCAACGTGGTGTTATCATAAAATACAGGATTTTGTAAACGTTTCGTAACTATTCATCCAGTGACCTGTGAAACTTGTGTCATCTGTCGGAAGAATTATGATCTCCTCAATTATCAGCCAAAATTATCTCTGAAAACTTGTGTACCGTGAGCCGATGTCACAATGTCATTAAAGCCAATCGCTACGTTTTCTAAGTAGAATTTTCGGTCTTTTTCACAATATGTTATCTCCGTTATTAACAGACTTATGGTTTTGAAATTTTAAATTTTGTTAAAAACAATTTGTCATCATACTTTTCTTTTAATTTTAGTGAAATTTTTGCTTAACGTATTTTTAAATCAATATCTCAATTATTAAGGGAAATTTCAGAACACAGCTTTCAACACTATGATAACCCAAATATCCCGCCTTAAATTGGCATGTGAAAAAACTTGAAAAGTGCGCAAAAAATTAAAAATTCAAAAATTTGGCCTTGGCTGTGATAGCCTAACGAAATGGAACCCTACATTGTGTTCTTGAAAAATGGCGGGATGCGTTCAGATGCAAGTGGTGGACCCCAAAATGAAAAAAAAAGCTGCGACTAAGTTGTCCGGGTTGAAGACTTTCTTAGTGCTCAGCTACAAAAAAAAACTTTGAATGACTTGGATTGAAGAAAAAGTGTGGCAACAAATTTAAAATTATGGCAGTCAACAAAAGAACAAAATTTTAATAAACAAACTATGCAGCGACAGTGGCACCAGAGTGCTATATAAGAATGTGGCGATGGAACTCAGTTTCATTCTAGAACACAACAAAAATACCCATAGGGCGCGTTGCAGCACGAACGGAGTTTGGGGCTCCTATCGACAGAGGCCGACAGCGTCACGTCATCTCTATGGCCTTGACTGCTATTCAAACCTGCATCTTTTGTGCAGAAGGCGCGATAAATCCCTCCAGCTCGACTAGGAACCGCGCACCCCGCTTCCGCTACGTGTTTCTGTGTTATTTAACTTGAATTCTACTTAAATGTTCAATCTCTATAACTCTGACATTAAACTACGACTGAACAAGTCTTAAAAGTTCAAAACAGCAATAAACAACATTTAAATTCGCCGTACACTCTTGTGAAATTTGAAACCGCAAATAATTCTGATCTAAGATTAAGATTAGGTAGCAGACAATTTCATGATGGAAGCATCAATCAACAAAATATTTACAAAACCAAAAAACTAGCAAAGATTTATAAAAACAAAAAATCTGGTGTGAAATAAAACTTGTGCAGATAAAAATATTACAGTTATTTAAATTATACAACAAAGAAAATTACTGAAGTTAAAATTGTGAAATATAGAAAAATTGTATGAAGTGAAAAATTGCAAGCTAACATGAGGTTTATACTTTAAGTCCATTCAGGTTATTGGTTAATTTTTGAAAGTGAAGTTATTCAGCTGCATAACTTCAACAAACATGTGCTCGGGTTAAAAATACTCTTTCAACATCGTCGCTGCCAGAACAAAAAATTCAACTCATTCTAAATTACGCCACACTTCATCAACGATTCAAACAAATAGTTTACATTATGTTAAATTATGCCACACTTTATCAAAGATTCAAACAAAGAATTTACATTATGTTAAATTATACCTTGATCCAAGTGATTGATTTCTTAAAAACGATTAGCTTTGAGAGTTTATATCGTGGATAGTTTATCCCAAACAAAACACATGATAAATAAACACAAAATGCATCAGGCGTTGCGAGATAAATGTATCGGTGATGTAAGGATGATACGATGATAATAAGGATGATAACTGCATAAGGAGAGAAATCTTTAATCCCCCCGCACCTTAGTCCACGGAGGTTTGTATACTATTTAAAACCCTTTCGCACTGGGATCCGCCAAAACGCGCAAAAAAATTATGTCGTCGATTATCGGGAACCGCTTTTTCGCGCAAAGGTGAAACAAGCATTTTACATCGGAATTCACCCGTTTGCGTCGATATGTATCGAATGCGCAAAATCAACTTTACTTGTTCCTGAACTCACTCAACTTTAAGGATGAGTGCTAAGCTTAAATATCTGACTGATAAAGAACTCGAAGAATTAGTGGATCAAAGTAATGAGGATGATAAAGACTTTTTTTGTTTTATAAATACAAGGCTACTCATAATTGCGCTAGCTATTCTACCCCGCACGTATGACGGGAGACACCCGTCATATTTACACGCTAACTAACTTGAAAATAAAACAAAATCTTAAAACGTAATACACGTCAGCAGGCTTAAAAAATTCAAAAATTGGGATTTACCCACAGTCATCGGAAATATAAGTAATAATTAGATCTTATTTAAAGCCGAGTTTCCTGGACTATCCAACCGGTTAAAAAAGTAAATCCGCAAACAACTACTCATTCTCCAACTTATTAAGAGTTGGAAAGCAGTATGTTGTCGACCATTTGTGAATAAAAATAATTAATTAGTTTGCATAGTTCTATTCCATCGTGTTAGTAGGTGCGGGTTGCTTTTGTTTGTGTAAACAAAATTTGGAAATGTGGAGTGAGTATGCTGTAAATTGTGAGAAAACACTTGGGTGTACTTCCGAAAAATGTGCCCCACAACAATTTTTCTATTAACTATGTAGAAAAAGATGTACCATGCAACCTGTACGTATAAATACTTTATATAAGGTTCCTAAGAAGATTGCAGAGTTACTTGAAAAACTACCAAATCCGGAAATGTATACCGGGTACTGTTTTCGACGCAGTAGTGCCAGATGCTGGCAAACACTGGTGCCGACTTTGTTACTGTTAAGAGGGCGAGCCGATGGCAGTCTTCATCTGTAGCAGAATCGTACATCGGGAATTCTATGGCGAATAAAATTATAGTATCAAATTACATCCTTAGTGTAGAAGAAAAAGATGATGAGAACTTGAATTAGTGCAACAAGGAATACGTGTACACCAAAAATATGCATTTCTGTCAAGGTAAATGCAAAATTGATATTACTATTAAATCAAAATAATTTAATTGTGAAATTTTGACTTTATCGGACTAAATTCCGGTGTGACCGACGGACGATGCGGAATCTCGCCTATAACGTGTGGTGGCGGCGTACGTGGGTGCCGAGCCTTGAGCCGACTAGTGTCGCTGATATAATAAACAAGTCTGGCCGACCCAAGCTTATGCGGCGGCCTTCACGCCCATCGGGGGTAGCACCTTCGATCCGGAGCGGTGGTCGCTCGGGCGCCAGCTCTCTCTCCGGGGGAGGGAGCGCCGGGGTTGCTCTCAAGCCGGAGACACGGATTTCAGGTGGTGAGCGCCCGCGAAAACACGATAATAAAATAAAACGGCATGGAATATTTTACACAATAAATAGGGTTTATTTCCTGCCACCAGCTCCAGATATAAATTAACTTAAATAACAAATCGGTTTTACAAACAAAAAGAAACTAAAAGAATTAAATGTCCGGCACGGTCGTTCCCTCCTGAACGGCGACTTCCTTCCGGACGGGCTTCTCCTGGACTTGGGGGCGGCCACCTTGAAACTGGAAATCGCGCGAGGACGGTACGGCGACCCGGGAAGCGAGCGCGGTAGCGGTATACGACGCGTGAACGACGACAGACAAAAAAAAACAGTGACGGTGGTACGGTTTTTCGCTCGGGGGCGGCGATTCCAAAAACCGATACGTAACCGTACAGACGACCCGAAAGGTACTTACGGAGGTCGGAAGGTCGAAGTACACATCGCAAAATCTCTGAATACAGCCACCGCACTTCTTCTCTTGCGCGACGATCGCGGCTTTATCCCCGGCTCTCACGATTCGCGTCACGGTTTCGGACTCACGAAAATTCCCTTCGTTACATATAAAAATTAAAATACTTTATCTACCCTTGCTGTTACAGTGTAATTTTATCTACTTTTGCGATTAAAATGTTAGTTACTTCGCCTTTTATTTTATATTCAAAATTTTGAAAAAATATTTTTTAGGCTTGAGTCGATTCTACTTCTGTGGCAATGGTTCATTAGTCCTCATTATTCATTAGCTAGCAGAAAAGAGAGTTTGGCTTAACAAAAGTCATATCCCAGTATGCTGTTCCTATGTCCGTGTCTAAGTTTTTAAATCACTACATGAATGATATAAGACAAAATCTCTGGCTGTCTCTTTCAACGCGGTAATCGAATTTTCATGCGATTTTCACCAATCGATAGAGTGGTATAAGGTACATAATTTGTGAAGGTTTTTTCTAAATTTATAATAATTGTCGAGTAAGTCGGAAAAAATCATACCATCTGAAAGTTTCACTGGCATGAGTTACGTAAACTGTTAGAATATCATCTTTGTTTTGTTTCACAGTGTTGTCTGTCATGCCTTATTATTAGATAGAATATAGATCTCTTAAAATGTGTTGTTTAAATAACTTTTATTAATTGCGTACTTTTGTTTGAGTGAATTTAAAGGTTGATTGACTTATTTCAGTACATAGGACTGAATAAATAGTGACTATATTGTGATAAACCAAACTTCCCGCCTTAAATTGACATATGAAAAAAAATTGACAGCCCGCGAAAATTTAAAAATTGAAAATTTGGCCTTGGCTGTGATGGTCTAACAGAATGGAACCTACGTTGGCAGGAATGCGTTCTTTCATACAAGTAAGCATACACTGAGTGCGAGTAGAGAGCGCAAGAAATAATAGACACAATTTTTGGGAGCGGGTTAAAAATCGCACCCTTCTCTAGGAGGAAAAGAAGCTGCGAGCGAGGGCGACTCGCGACTTGCCATCAAGCTGCCCAAGGGGGCCGAATCTCATTCACTTCTCAGCTCCAAAAACCCCCGATGGTTTATTCACCCACATATAATACATCGCAAATGTAACACATAAAATATGAAAGAAAGAGACAACCGCGACTTGACAGATATACACATATGGGAAGCCGAACAAGTGCGAAAACCCTACGTATATTTTTGAATCAATGCAAATATCTGAATATAACAAATTTAATTAAAAATAGCAAAATCTAAATTAAAGGATGCAAATACACAAGTTATTACGAGCGTGTGGCATCAAATTTAAAATTGTGTGGCAGCCAACATGAACACAACAAAAATACCTAAAGGGGCGTTCTAGCACTAGCGGAGTTTGGGGCTACCGATCGGGGCTGTTCTCCCCCACGACGGTGATTCTATTTATCGCAAGCCTTCCCCACAGCACATCTCCATAACGAACATGCCGTCCTAACCAGATGGTCGAAAACTCGTGATTGGATGTCACAGCTATGAATGAGCTGACAGCGTCACGTCGTCCAGAGCGTTCCCACTGAATTCTACAGAAAGCCTGCATCCCTTGTGCAGATAGCACAATAAATCCCGTTAGCACGACTATGAACCGCGCCCTCCACTTACACTACGTGTTATTGTGTTATTTAACTTCATGTTCAATTTCTATGACTAACTATGTTAACGACAACTGAACAACCGTCAAAGTTTCAAAACGGGCATTAAACAACATTTAAATTCGCCATACAATTTTGTGAAATTTTAAACAACAAATAATTCTTATGTGAGATTAAAATTGGACATCAGATAATTTATGATAGAAATATTCATCAACAAATTATTTACAAAACAAAACTAGCAAAGATTTTGCGACGAAATTCCGGATGGGAGGGACGGACGGACGGTCCGGTGACGGTCCGGAATCTCGCCGATAACGTATGGGGTGGCGGCGTACTTGAGTGCCAAGCTTTGGGTCGACTAGTATCGCTGATGTCAGAAACACGTCTGGTCGACCAAGCTTATGCGGCTACCTTCACGCCGCCGGGGGTGGCGCCTTCGGTCAGGAGCGGCGGTAGCTCGGGCGCCAGCTCCCTCTCCGGGGGAGGGAGCGCCGGGGTGCTCTAAAGCCGGAGACACGGAATTCAGGTGATGAGCCGCCGCGGAAACTCGAAAATAAATAAAATAAAACGGCGAGAGAGATTTTACAATAAAATAGGGTTTATTCCCTGCCACCAGCTACACGGTCTAAGATAATAAATCTTACGGCTAAACAACTTAAATGACTAACAATTCGATTTTACTACAAAAAAAGAATTAAAGTCCGGCACGGTCGTTCCTCCTGGGCGGCAACTTCCTTCAGGCCGGGCTCCTCTTGGCTCTGGGGGCGGCGACCTTGAACCTGGAAATCGCGCGAAAACGGCACGGCGACCCGGGAGGGGAGCGCGGTGACGGTAACGACGCGTGCACGACGGTGTCGACTTTCGACGGTGACAAAAAAAAACGCGGTGACGGTGACACGGTTTCTCGCTCGGGGGCGGCGATTCGAAAACCGGTACTAAGACGGGCAGACGACCCAAAAAGGTACTTACGGTGGTCGGAGGGTCGAACTGCTCACTTTATCACACTTCTCCAAAAACAAGAAAAATTCCCACAATCGCCACAGCACTTCCGCACTCTCTGAAGTTGCAGGGAAGAGTCCTCTTCTTCCGCCGCGGCGGCGCGGCGATCGCCCATTTACCCCCGGCTTTCGCGGTACGCGTCACGGTTTCCGGCCCGCGAAAATTCGCTTCGTTACATTCCCCCCTTTCGTCGGTAAAAAAAAAGGAGTGTAACTTCTTTTTTTTTTCCTTTTATTCATAACCCACCCCCACAAAAGCTCCCTACAAAAAAGAAATAAAAAGAAATTAAATTCACACACTGCGGCGACTGTTCAACGGCGGTTTCCGGTCCGTCCTCGCACGGCATTTGTTCTTCTGGACGGGCTCACGCGGGGTGACGGTAGGGGAAGCTCCTTAGGGACGGGGCGCGGGACTTCGCCAGAGGACGGTCGACGGGGGCGGCTTCTGCAGGGTCGTTCCGGCAGGCCGCACTGGCAGGCGGCGGACGTGGTGCCCACGAGGCCGCATCTTGAGCAAAATTTAGGGGCGGCCGGATACGGGCACTGGCCTCGACAGTGGCCCGGCCGCGCGCAATGCCAGCAGACCTCTTGGTCAACTGGCACATACCGGGCCACAGGATCTCGTCGGGGGGCCTCTCCTTCTGTTTGGACCCCGCGGGAGACTAGCTGGGGAGCTGCTCCCATGGGGGGTCCCACCTGGATCCCCCGGGACTTTGGGCGGTGTCCAGCGGCGGCGGGGTCCTCTCCCCGGAGCAGCTCAGCCACCAAATCACGTACGACCGGGTTATCCATCTGAAAACAGACATCACAGTCAATCACCGCATCGTTTGGAGCGCGTCGGATGCGCGGGTTTCTAGCCGACGGCCCGGGCACGGGTGGCAGCGCGGTGGACTCGGTAGGGGTGTTCTGCGACTCAGGGCGATTCCATACGAACGTCCCCCGGAGGATGTCGATGGCGATGGCGTTGGCGCGCAGGAAGTCCATCCCTAATACCATAGCGGTGGTGAGGGTTGGAAAAACGGCGGCTCGGACTGTCACGGGGACGTCGCCGATTTTCATATCCAGGTCGTAACTTCCTGCGGACGGGACGATGTCGCCATGGGCCATTTGGATCCGAACCTGGGGGGCTGACACGGGGGCAACGTTGCGTTGGCGCAGCACGGTGGCAACTTCCTGGCCAATGAACGTGCTAACGGCTCCGGTGTCTAGCAGGGCGTCGTAGACGGTGCCAAAAAGTGTGACGGCGACATGAGGACGGTTGTCGGGAAACTTCAGGGGAGCTTCCATCGACAACATTGGCTTGCATGGCTGCTGCGACGGCTTGGAAGGGTGCTGCGACGGCTTCGACATGGCGCAGACCTCTCGCTCGTTTCTTCGGTCGCAGGGGCACTCTCGGGACATTATATCGCTTCGGCCGCACCTGGAGCAGAACAGTCGGGGTGGCTTCCTGCAGGCTGAGCGGTAATGTCCGGATTCTCCACACCTCCAACATTTGACAGTAGTTCCGGTGTTGGCGGTGGCGCCTGTGGACTGCTGGATGGGCCTGGACGACGGTGGTGGGAGACGGACGTTCTCCAGCCTTCGCGGT